GAATCACTGTAATGGTGTGAGAATAAATTTATTCATCCATTTGTTGAGTCAGGGTCTGCAGACCAGACCTCTGCACATAGTGACAAACGTCTCAATATACTGTGCTCACTACCTAACTGTGCTCACTACCTGGATGCAATATACTCAAGTAACAAACCTGAATCTAAAATAAAATTGAACTTTTAAAAATATAATGTCTTTTGCAGCAACATGGATATAGCTGGAGGCCATTATTCCAAGTGAAGTAACTCGGGAATGGATAATTAACAACCACATGGTCTCAGTCATGAGCTAAGTGAGATGGAGCTAAGCAGTGGATATGCAAAGGCATACAGTGTAGTATAACGAACTTGGAGACTCAAGAGGGAGGATGAGAAGGGAATGAGGGATAAAAAAACTACATACTGGGTACAGTGTACATAACTTGGGTGACAGGTGCATTAAAATCTCAGACTTCAGCACGATGTAATCCATCTATATAACCAAAACTGCTTGTACCCCAAAAGCCATTGAAATAAAATTAAAAAAATAATTCAAGCCACATATCAAGGATAGTAGAGCCACCCTATTTCAGCCTTTGACTATATACCTCTGAATTGTTTCAAGAGTAATAAACTTCTATCATATTAAAAAAAATAGATCTAGAACTCCGAATAAATCCACACAAATATGCTCAACTGATTTTTGACAAAGGTGCAAAAGCAATTCAATGGAAGACAGCCCTTTCAAAAATTGCTGCAGGTATAATCAGATGTCCACAGTCAGAAAATGAATTTTGACCTAACCCTCTCACCTTATGAAAAAACATTTAATTCAAAATGGATAACAAAACTGAAATGTAAAATGCAAAACTATAAACTTTTAGAAGGAAATAGGGAAAAAAAAATCTTTTGGATCTAGGCATTGAAGAGTTTGCATGACACTAACAGAAGGATCTATAAAAGAATAAAATCAGCAAGTTAGACTTCATCAAAATTAAAACTTTGCTTTTCAAAAAGTCTTGTTATAATAATGAAAACACAAGCCACAGACCAGGAGAAAATATTTGCAAACCATATGTCCAACAAATGACTCATACCTAAAATATATTTTTAAAATTTCCAAAATACAGTATTAAAAAATCCAAGCAGTGATCATAAAACACGAAAAGGCATTTCACTGAAGAAAATATATGGATAGTAAATAAACATATGAAAAGATGTTTAACATCACTAGTCATTAGAGAAATACAAATTAAGAGACAATATCCTTACTTACTAGAATAGCTAAAAAAAAAAAAAAAAGTAACAATACCAAATGTTTGATGAGGGGGCAAAGAAATGATACAGCAGCCTGCCTTGGGGGTTAGGTTCCAAGACCCCCAGTGGATGCCTGAAGCCACAGATAGTACTGAGCCCTATATATATCTATAAATATGTAGCTATCTTTAGATTTTCTGTATGCATACATATAATGGTTTAATTTTATAAACAAAGTATGAGTCAACAATGAAACAGAAAAATCATAATGTGCTATAAGTTTTGTGAATATGGGCTCTCTCTCAAAATACTTTCTTGTACTGCACTTACCCATCTCACCCATCTTACTCGTCTTCTTATGATGACGTGATAAAAGGCCTATGCTGATGAGATGAAGTGAAGTGAATGACACAGGAATTGAGATGTAGCATTAAGCTACTACTGTCAGGAGGATCAACTGCTTCAGGTGATTCTGGATCATAGAACCATCATGGTATCAATGGTTGAATGTCAAGAGCAGAAAATACTGATGACTAAAGGGCAAGTAGTATATAGTATAAATACGTTGGACAAAAGGAAGATTCACATCCCAGGAGGGAGGGCATGGGATTTCATTATGCTACTCGAAACAGTACACAATTTGGAACTTATGAATTATTTCTAAAATTTCCCATTTAACACTTTTGGACCACAGTTGACTGTGGGTTAATTGCAATCAAAGGAAGTGAAACCACAGATAAGGGATTTATGACATGATTGTGTCTCATAAATTGATCATGAGAATGCAAAATGGTGCAGCCAATCTGAAAAACCATTAGGCAGTTTCCTAAAAAATTAAATGTATGCTTCCCATATGGGCTTTACTCCAGAAAAACAAAAACTTACGTTTACACAAAAACCTGTAAGAAGTGTTCACTTCATCTTTATTTGTGGTGCAGTCATCCATACTAGAGAATACCACTTATCAATAAAAAGAAATGAGCTATTGATAGGTACAACTGCTTGGATGATCTTAAGGAAATTATGCTCAATGAGAAAAGCCAAAGGTCACACACTGTATTATTCCATTGCTACAAAAATATGTAAATAACAAAATTACAGAGCTAAAGAACAAATTACTGATGACGGAACAGTTTTATGTTGGTTGCAGTAGATACACAAATTCACACACAATGAAGTAGAATTATACACATGCACTATCCTTGCCAATTTCCTGTTTTCTGCATTGTAGTTACAAGATGTAAGTTAACCATTGGGAGAAATTAAAGGCACATGCATCCATGTGGTAAATGGACAACAAACTGTGTAATCCTATTCAATAATAAAAATGATTAGAAAAACCATAAAAAAAACTTTCATGGGTGATGCCCACGATGGATTAATGGGTATCAAATTTGTCCTCCTCTAACAAATTAGGAAATAGAAAAGGTAACTCTATGCAGACACTGGACAAAAGTGAAGGGTTTTTTTTTTTTTTTTTTTTTTGAGGCAGAGTCTTGCTCAGCCACCCAGGCTGGAATGCAGTGGCACGATCTCAACTCACTGCAACCACCATCTCCTAGGTTCAAGCAATTCCATCTCAGCCTCCGAGTTGCTGGGATTACAGGCACCTGCTATCACTCTCTGCTAATTTTTGTATTTTAGTAAAGATGAGGTATCACCATGTTGGCCAGGCTGGTCTTGAACTCCTGACCTCAGGTGAGCCGATCACCTTGGCCTCCCAAAGTGCTAGGATAAGAGGCGTGAGCCACTGCACCTGGACAGGACTGTGATTTTCTAAAGATACGAGAATTAATTCTATAGTCACCTGATTTTATGCCTGGGGCACTCTCCAAAACTGGACACAGAGAATTGAGTTCAAAAAGAATAGTGTCTTAAGGAGCAGAGGAGAAAAAACACAATTAGGGGAAGGGAAGAGAGGGGAGAGAAGGGGAGGGGAGGGGAGGGGAGGGGATTGTTGTAATCTGTGGCCTTCTAGAGTGAGGTCTCACCCACCCTTAGGGTGATCAGTAAAAACTGCAGTTTTATCTTCCTGTAGCTAACTGAAAACCAGCAACTTTGCTGTAAGAGAAGACTTACTTGATTTACTGCAGAGGTATAAACCTACAACTTTGTAAGTCAAAAGTGGAAAAATTACTTAGGAAGGGACGAGAAAATTCTATAGTTGTTAGCCAAAGGTTACAGTCCCAGTTCCTGAAGAGCAACAGAGCAGCCAGAAATTTAACAAGATCCTCGAAACAGAAGGGCAGAGAAGGGTAACATGAGCTCTCCACACATCTTTGGCAAACTGAAATGACGCATGCACAGGGGAGACTCTAGAGAGCATGGCAAATGTAAAAACCAAGAGGGATTTGGTAACTGCTTGCTACACTAAATGCATCCTCCATCCCATACAAAACAACCAACAGTGGGTGGAAGGCTTACGGACTCAAGTGTTTGATCTTAACCTTTGTCCAAATGATTGGCTGATGGCTAAGTTATGCAGACACAGGGACTACCCCTACCAGGCAAAAATAAATTTTGAAATGAATTTAAAAACCAAGCAGATACAGCAATAACTTTACATCATTTGTAAGATAGATTCCACAGTTTGAGTTCAGTCAAAATGTTAAATTTAAAACAATACAAATCCCTTAGATATAAAACAAAACTGAGCTGCTTGAATATACTACCTAAAATGTCCAGCTGTCAACCAAAAATTATTAAGCATGTAAAAACATGAGAAAGTGAGATATACAAAAGGAAAAAAAGCAGTCAATGAAAACGAAGTCTGTACAAACCCAGATATTTGATTAGTCACAACTTCAATAAGACTTCATAACAAATATATTCAAAGAATTAAAGATAAATTCAAAATGAGTCAATAAAGAAATCACAATTTAAAAAAATGAAGTATAAAAAAAGAGCCAGCACACTTCATTCTACATAAGTCCTACCACCAAGTTTCTTTAAATGTGTGTATTTAACAGTTAAATAAGACCTGAAAAGGGAGTTCGCCTACAAATAATTTACCATGAAACATCAGTTTCTTCAGAGTTAATAATTCTATGCTAACCATACCAAAAAACCTTGATTAGACTTTGTGGCTTATATTTATTTGATATTAAAAAGCAAAGTTGAGTTCACACACATAAAGCAATGGCAAAGGACACTGCCTCCAACAGAAAATATGAACCAAGACATGATGGAAAAACTATATGTAATATAATAAATAGATGTCATGAGATCACAGATTCATAGGCTAGAATACCATGTGATAACAGAAGTAGACTGAAATGCTACATGTGCAAGCCAAGGAATGCCACAAATTGCCAGTAAACCACCAGAAATTAGGAATAAGGAAGGATTCTATCCCTTACAGTTTTTCAAAGACATCATGGTCCCAACACCTTGATTTCAGACTTCTAGCTTCTAGAACTGAGATAATAAATTTCTGTTGCTTTAAGTCACTCAGTTTGTATAGTATTTTGTTAAGCAGTTCTAGGAAATTAATACAAATGTGCCATCTACCATAGTTCTCTCCCACTGGACTATTTAATAATCAATGATTTAAAATTAGTATTTGGAAAAGATGTTTTTTAATGAATAGATATATTAATCAGGTCTCTTTTGATAAGGAAATGCCCTATATTTAATTTTCATATCCTTGTCATATTATAAAAGCAATAACATAAATATGGGCATTGGTACAAGCTACTATGTATAGTTATTGAAAAGCTGAAAAAAAAAGTGGGAGTTAGAAATGTTTATGAAATACAAGTCTACAGAAAAATGAATAAAATTTTTATTTTAAAACATAATGTGTCATCAAAGATAAATTTCCCAACTATACAAACTGTTTTTACATATACATATATACACACATACATTTAAGCTTGGTTTATCTTTCATCTTTTTATCTGAGTAAAAAGAAGAACACTTTCCTCATTCAGGAGATTTTTGATGTTATAATAGTTACCTAAAAGTAAAGTGATAAGAAAACAAAAGTTATTTCTATAGGAATCATTTCTTTTAATTAAGTATTCAGTCATCACCTGACAGTTGTAGTACAGGACACAAAATAAAAACAATTCACCTAATTTAAAGTAGCATTTAATTTCACGAACTAAAACATCAAGAGTTAACCATGACACATAATACAGATAAGGCTTGAGAGAATATAAATTTCACATTATTATGGTAAAAAAAATGCAGAGATGAGTCAGTCAAGAGTTTAAAAAAAGGAAATCTCTTTCTGAAATCAATCTTTATTAGGTCTGTACAACTGCCGTGGATTCCTCTGAACCAGACATACTCATATATAGATGAGTATAAAAGGTACAATCAAAATTTTAAAAAGGCAAATGCTACTCTTAAATAAATAAGGTAATAAATAACAGCAAAAGTCAAATACAGATGGACCACAAGTATCCCATGTGACAGACTTATCAGAATTGAGTACTATCACTGTGACTTTCTATATATTAGAACTTTTAAAAGTTCGCAATTGAGAAAATTCCCAAGAGTGCTCACATATTAAGGACTATATAAGCATGGCTATTACTATTGTCTCCTTCCAACAGAATGTAAGCTCTGTAACAGCAGGGATCTTTACCTTTTTGTTCATTTTATATCCCAAACTCTTGCAGGAATATATGGACATAGTAGAAACTATGCTTTGTTTTTGTTTTTGAGACAGACTCTCACTCTGCCACCCAGGCTGGAGTACAGTAGTACAAACATAGCTCACTGCAACCTTGAAATCCTGGGCTCAAGCAATCCTCCTGTCCCAGCCTTCCGAGAGCTAGGACTATAGGTGTGCATCACCAGGTCTGGTTAATTTCTGCATTTTTTGTAGAGATAGGGTCTCCCTATGTTGCCCAGGCTGGTCCCGAACTCCTCACATCAAGCCCTCCTCAGCTTCTCAAAATGTTGGGATTATAAGTGTGAGCCACTGCACCTGGCTCATAGTAGACTCTTAATCATACTTGTTCAATGAGTGAATGAATGTCAACTGGATTAAAATACTTACTTACCATGACTTCTGCTGTTCAATAGTGGATGAAGCACACCATTCTTTCAACAGTTTAAAATAATGTTCTAAAAACATGATTTCTTAGAGGTAACACGGGGAAAATAATTTTCCTTCTACTCTGGAATATAACATATCTTCTGAGTAAATATTTTTATTTTCAGTAGTAAACAACTCTTGTTCTCATGTATCAAAACACTAACTGGCCAGGCACAGTGGCTCACACCTGTAATCTCAGCACTCTGGGAGGCCAAGCTGGGCAGATCACTTGAAGTCAGAAGTTCAAAACCAGCCTGGCCAGCATGGCAAATGCATCTCTACTAAAATTACAAAAAGTAGCCAGGTGTGGTGGTGCATGCCTATAGTCCTAGCTACTCAGGAGGCTGAGGGCCAAGAATCACTTGAACCCTGGAGGCAAAGGCTGCAATGAGCTGAGATCACGCCACTGCACTCCAGCCTGGGTGACAGAGTGAGACTCTGTGTCCAAAAAAAAAACCCACCACACAATAAAATGCTAATATGCTTACTTAATGATAACCTGAAAGGAAAATAGGTACCAAACTGTTTTGACATCCATTAGTCATATCACACTTCATTTTGACCACTGTGGCTTCCATTTCCATGGTGCCCAAAAACAACTATATAGATGTTATCTAAGTGAAATAAATTGTCTTTAATTATAGTTACCTGAAGGAACATAGAATGAATCCCCAGTACTTATTATATAAGGTGTTTCATGTAAAGTACACAAAAGGTCTCCAAAGTTAACATAAAAAACCTGTAAAAATAAAAACCTCATTCAAAATTGAATCATGACAATACTCCAAAGGAACTTTAAAATGTAGTGGGAAAAAGAACAACTTCCCAGGAATGTGCCTGTTTTAATCTCTGTAACTTGTAACTACATTAAATTTCATGGCAAAAGGGGCCTTGACATGGGGAAGTTAGCTTTGATAATGTAGGTGAGCCCAATCCAAACACACAGACCCTTAAAAATGGGTACTAAAGATGTGGGGCCATATACCAATAAACATGGGTTATTTCTAGAAACTAAGAATGACACCCTCACCAACAGTCAGTGAGAAAATGGGAACTTTAGTCCCACAACCACCTGAAACTGAATTCTGCCAACAATCTGAATAAGACTGGGAGGAGACTGGAAGCATATTCGTCCTCACATCCTCCAGAAAGAAATACAAACCTGCCGACATCTTGATTCCAGTCTTGTAATACACTAAACAGAAGGCCTAGTCAAGCTCATGCTTATCTCTACATAACAGTGAAATAAATAATAATAAAAAGAGTATTGTTTTAAGTGGTTAAATTTGTGCTAGTCATGTACTGTTTAACAGGGTTTCAGTCAACACTGAAATGCATACACAATAGTGGTCCTATAAGGTTATAATGGTGTTAAAAAATTTTATTGCCTAGTGACCTCACAGCCATCATGACATCCTAATGAAAAGTATTACTCACGTGGTTGTGGTGATGCTTATGTAAACAAACCTACTGCACTGCCAGTCACATTAAAGTATAGCACATAAAGGAAAAAGTGGAGGATAGAAGGTAGGGTAATTTGCAGCTCCCATTCACACGGACACAAAAGTGTGTGGAGACTCACATCATGAACTTGTGCTCCAAGAACTACCGCAGGAACATATCAGGAAAACTGAAAGAATTCAGACTCTTTTGAATAAAGTGGCTTACCACTGCAAACTCCATGAGACAGCTGAAAAACTGTTGAGTGTCCAAAGTGTGAGAGGGGGAAAGTCTGCCTCCAAACAAATCCTTACTGGGAAACCTGAAAATCCAGGTCATGAGAGAAGGATTTAACCTTACCTAGAGCTAAAACAAATTTAGAGAGCCAAGGGAAATGTAATAGGAGAAGCAGACGCCGGAAGAGCTCTGTAGGTACTCCTGGTTTCCAAGGAAGACCAGGCAAGCCATTTCTGACTTTATCTCATGGGAGTCCTTGAGAAGGGCTGCCAGTGGCATTGGGGAAGGACCACAGAAAGAAAGAAACTTCCAGCTGAACTTTAAATAATTTTGGCCTAGCATGAATTATCCTGGGCAGAATTGAAGAAAAGGCAAACAGAAAGTTCAGGTACAAGCCAGGGTAGGTGGCAAGAGGCAGGGCCTGAAGGTCCTGTTTTCTTTCTCAGCAGGGAGGCTTTGTAGCCTGGGGGAAAATGTCAGTCCCCGCTCACAGGCTTCCTAGATACAAACTTGGTTTGGGGAGGTACAGTGGGAGTGAGAATGGCCTCGCCTGGCTGCATGGGAGCTGGGTGAGGCCTGCCTGCTGGCTTCCCCCACTTCCTTGGTGACCATAATGACACAGTGGAGACAGCCATAATCCCCCTGGGAACATAACTCCAGTGGCTTGAGAACTACACTCTTATCCTCTACAGTGGTCACAGCAAGCTCAGTCCAAAAAGAGGCTGAGCTCAGACAAACCTAATCAATTCTACCTCCACCTGAGGTCTTTCTCTAAGTGCCCTGTAGCCAAAGATAATTTCTTCCTTATGAAAATCTAATGCCAAATCCCACTGCCACCATCAATTTTTGTGGAAAAAATCTGGTCTTTCACAAACCAGTCCTTGGTGCCAAAAAGGTTGGGGATAGCTGTAATACAGGAAGAGGTTTCTTTGTTTTTCCTTATTATTTACTGGCTTATGAAAATTCTAGAGCCACTGTAAAGATTATCACCTACACTAGAAAAATACCTAGGCTTTATGTATGCCTCTTTAAAGGTCACATGCTTAGGACAGCAAACTACAAATGAAAAATCAAAGAAAACAAAAAGCTACATTCCTATTCCCCTCAAAATCATGTTAAACATCAAGATTAAGAAAGTAAAAGAGGATAAATCTCTCAATCATGCTGGCTTCCATATTCAAACACAGCAAATTTCATACTTTATACATAGACAGCACCCTGGCAGTGACCTGGGTTTGTTTTTTTTTTTTTTTTTTTTTTTTTTTTGCAACTAAAATAAAAAGTATAAGGCCTTCAAACTTTGAGATTCAGCTATTGTTAGAGATTAGTGTGTCCCCTGAAAATTCATATTTTGAAATCTTAACCCCCACTGTGATGGTATCAGGAGGTGGGGAATTTGGGAGGTAGTTATGTCATGAGCACAGAGCCTTCAGGAATACGATTAGTGCCTCTGTAAAAGACACGGATCAAAGTCTATGGTATTCTTATCATAGCAACCAAATCTGACTAAGACATACATCAAGAATGTTTTGCCTCAGATAATTATTTCTACTCCTTTTTTATTACTACTTTGTATAATGATCATAATATACCAGAATAACAATCACGGCTAGCACTTACATAGCACTTATGCTGGACCGAGCAGTGTTATGAGCACTTTATTCTTATTTGGTTAATGTATATGCCCACTAATGAGACAGTTACTACTTTAGTAGCTTTTCATGGATGAAGAAACTGAGGCACAGAGAGGTTAAGTAATTTTCCAAAGTCACAAGGTAAACGGCAGAGCTGGGGTTTGAACTCAGCCATTTTGATTACAGAATTCATTCTCTAACCACTGTGATACACTGCCTCCCTAAATCGGGGGGTGGGGAAAGCCTCCTGAAATGTTCCAAAGGTATTTTTATAACTTAATAACTAACAAAAAAGTTCTTATTACACCCAAAAAGAATTTGCCTCAATCAAAAAGAATGTAGGTTCCACCTGGTTCTTTTTTATTTCTTACATTTAATTTATTGAAAACATTAAGCAACTTGCCACAAAAATCTTCATGCAATTGGATTTTGCTGATTACATTCCCAGGTGTCATTTGAAAGCTTTCACCATCCTTTATTTCTTGTAAACTGGTAGTTAAATCTGGAGACTTGATCAGATTCAGGTTTTGTATTTGCTTTTGGATTTTTTTGATTGATGTTTGTTTTTTTTTCCTAAGGCATGGGGAAAGCAAGACTACTTCTTGGATAGTGTTGTATTTTTACATGAGAAGGCACAAAAAGACAAAAAAGTAATACTAGAAAGTCAAGTATGTATTTCTAGTATTTTTTCCTTACCTATTCAATTGGTTCTCTAAGCATACTTCTCTTCATTTCTACAAACATTTAATTAAGAGAGCTTTTGAAACATACAAAAATAGAATGATGAACTCTCATGAATACTTAACACTAACCACCTGCCCAAGCCAATTCTAACCACTTGCCCAGGCCAGAGTCTACTATCCTCATTCCACATTATTTTGAAATAAATGCCCAGTAACATAATTCATCAGCAAATATATCAATGTGTACTTAAAGATCAAGTGCTTCTAAAAAACATAACCACAATACTATTATCACACCTAAAAATGAATGTATATTTAATACCAAATATCTAGGTAATGGTCAAATTTCCAATCATCTGTTAAACATATTTTCAAGGGTTTCCTTGAATCAGAATCCAAATTAGCACCACATACAGTGACTGTTGATCTGTTTATTAAATTTCTCAATCAATATTAATTAGTGGTTCTCAATCAAGGTGATTTTGCCTCTTAGGACAACTGACAATTTATGAAGACATATATAATTCTGTCACAACTAGAGAGGTGCTACTGGAATCTAATGAGTATAGGTCAGGTAAGCTTCTAAATATCCTACAACAAAGAGGACAGTCCCCATTACAACAACAAAAAATTTTCTAATGAAAAATGTTACTAGCGCTGTGGCTGAGAAACCCTGATTCCCCAGGTTCCACCTGGTTATTTTTTATTTCTTACATTTAATTTATTGAAAACATTAAGCAGCTTGCCGTGAAAATCTTCATGCAGTTGGATTTTGCTAACGACATCCCCAGGTGTCATTTGAAAGGTTTCACCATTCCTTATTTCTTGTAAACTGGTAGTTAAATCTACAGACTTGATCAGATTCAGGTTTTTTATTTGCTTTGGGGTTTTCTTGATTGTTTATGTTTTTTTTGTTCTTTTCTTAAGGCATGGGAGAGGAAAGACTACTTCTTGGATAGTGTTGTATTTTTCTATCAAGAGGCACATAATGCCTGGTTGTGTTCTTTTTAGACATCTAACAGCCACTCAGCTGGGCCTTGATGCCTAGATCCAGTATCTTATCAGAGATTGCAAAATGGTAATATTTCAACTCAAACATTCCTTCTTCACTCATTAGCTGGAATATTACTCTAATATGAATAAAATTCTCATCTATTATTTGATTACCTAATAACAGAGTTTATATAGAAAAGGCAGAATCAGTTGTTAAAACGAGTTGGCTTCCTAGACTCCTCCAATAGTAACAAATTAGGTTCATTTGTACTAGTAGCAGTGGTTGACATCATCTTACAAATTCATGGATTTAGATATAATGGATATATATCAATCTACTGAAGTTATTCTTATTAATACTCAAGTTTCATATCTTAGCCAGCCAGTGGTGGCATCTTCAAGTTGGAACCTGAAACATGACCTAATCTTAATGGTCTCTGATTAGTGGTTTGCTATCAATTCCAAGCTCAGATTCAGCCCTAGAATCAGGCATTTCTACAAGGAACCGGCTCTCTTAAGTAGGTTGCTGTCATCTTTTTGTTTTTTTTTTTTTAAGTTCTGGAACATTTATTGTCTAATTTAAAAAATATTATCAATCATTTTTCAGTGGGTTTTTTCTCTCTCCTGAAATTCTTATTATTTGAATTTAGGCATGTTTATCTCTCTTCTCTATTATTATTTAACTTTAATATTTTCTACTTCTTAATTTCCTTCTTGTCTCCTGGGAAGTTCTACAACCAGCTCTCATAATTAATTTGTAAATTCTTCTGCGATTTGGTTTTAACAAATGTACTACAGTTCTGTCTTATATATTCTCTAGTACTGTGTTTGAAAGAGAGTTAATGGCCTGTGCTGGTTCTCCATCTTGTTATCTTTATTATTTTTTTCAAAAAGGTATATTTAAGTGTGCTTCATGTTTAAAAATGTAAAAATCTAGTCTTACTTTAAAAAAACTTTAGCTTTAATTTTCATTATAAAAAGTTAAAGATAATATATATAACAAATAAAATCAATAACTATATCATCACATAGTAAAACATGTATTCTCATCAAGATTTTACTTACATTTTAAAATCCCAGTCAGAAAAATAGAAAAATAGATATTATATGCAAAGAACTTTGATGTTGCACGTTTACTTAAATGTTTATCACAAGGGTCTTCATATATGGCTATTCTTCAAAATAAAATGCTCAAACTAATTTTAATGTGCTTAGTGCAGTGCCTGAAACACGTAAGTTCAGTATAGTTGTTTATTATGTCATAAAATGGTTTATCTCATTACTAAGTCAAAATTAAAATGTACCATTTTCTTCCTGTAGCACATTGTAGTGGTTTCTCATTTCTGCAATTAGTCAATGATTAAATAAATAACTACGTATGTTCAGCACCTCTTACCCTGAACTTTCAAATTATTTCCTTAGGAAAAATTTCTAGAAATGAGATTCACAGGTCACAGGGTATAAATGCTTGGCTAATAATTTCCACTAACTCAGTAATTATAAAGTATCATTTGTATTTAAAAGTGTATTCCTTTGAACATTAGCCAGATTACATACTTTCAAACACCTATTATTCAAATTTCCTTTTGTATAATAAAAGCATGACAGTTGAATGGGTACTGCTATTAGTTGAGTGATGACATTTCATTTTTATCCTCATTATTAATTATTCTTTCATTATTATACAGGGACCATCTATACTTTTAAAATGTGTTTTCACTCACAGCAACTGGAAGTCTATAACATTTTAAGTTTGAATTAATGAATATTGCTAAATTATTTTAAATCATGCTTCTAGCTATACTGATGCAGTAATAATCTTTGACTTTCACATGTACCTTTCCTTGCTTTGCCTAAATTTGCCCTTCTTTGTTAACATAAACTCAAGGGTCTTCACATTTTTTCCCTCCTTTCTGAACTTACTTTAAGTTTGTCATTAAAGAGAATCATTCTGGGTGTGACACTTCAATAGCAGGATTTCAGACTCCAGAATGTCAGACTAAAAAATGTTCCTTAGTTATATTTTTTAACTGCTGATATGTTAAGTATTCTCAAAATTTGATGCTTTTCAAATTCTATATTCTATAATTTTCAAACTCAGAACACAAATATTATATATATGTGTGTGTATATACATACATATATATATTCCTGTTACACACACATACAAACACACACACACACACACACACACACAAAACAGACCAATGTTGCAAAGGTATATGTCTCTAAATGAGGGTGAGGGTGGAGAAAAGGAGATAAAAAGAAAGAAAGAGACTGATTCACCTTGATTCTCACTGTAACTTCACCCAGTAATATTATTACATATAATGGTATATTACTTAGTACTTACTGAAGCAACTAGCTCTTAGTCCTGAGTCTATGGCTAAATAGTTAAGTATTTTTTAATTATTATTATTATCTCACTCATTTTTATTTACTTTTTTTTTCAGGTTATTGCTTTATTTATATATAATAGTTTTAGATATTTTTGTGGTACATGTCACATTTTAATACCTGTATGCAATGTATAATGATCAAATCAGGCCAACTGGGATATAAGTTATTTCTGAAGAAGTCTTTTAACCTATTTCTCTACACATTATCATAGAAATCTATCAGATTTCTATGATATCTATCTGATAGAATCTTAATCTCTGTAATTCCCCAGCACTAAAATCCTAATGATTTGTTTGCAAATATATATTCTTTTTTTTTTTTTTTGAGACGGAGTTTCGCTCTTGTTACCCAGGCTGGAGTGCAATGGCGCGATCTCGGCTCACCGCAACCTCCGCCTCCTGGGTTCAGGCAATTCTCCTGCCTCAGCCTCCTGAGTAGCTGGGATTATAGGCACGCGCCACCATGCCCAGCTAATTTTTTGTATTTTTAGTAGAGACGGGGTTTCACCATGTTGACCAGGTTGGTCTCGATCTCTCGACCTTGTGATCCACCCGCCTCGGCCTCCCAAAGTGCTGGGATTACAGGCTTGAGCCACCGCGCCCAGCCTGGTGCAAATATATATTCTAAGATTTTTTAACTAAAAAACATTCCTTAAATTTATGAATCTCAAAAGAATACAGTGCTATGCAGAGAACAGATATTGTCAAATAACTATTGGCTGGTAGACTCTAAACAGATTGAACAAATCAAAATCTTTTTCTTCATAGTGTAGTAATCGAATTTAATTCCTGAGGAAACAGCATTTTAATGTCTCATCAAATCCAATAAATCAGAGTTCTACCTATGGCAAAACATAAATATATAAAAAAAATATATATATACTTACCAATACATCCTGGCCAACATGCTGCTTTCCCTTTTCTTCTTGTGGTCCTAATATCAATTTCCCAGTAGAAAAAAAAGGTGTATCCAATGTCTTATATACCTTCAACTCACCATGCTTAACAAAAAATTGATACGTATCTCGTGGCCTTATAAGATCTAGGGGTAAAACAGTAATACAAATACAAAACAAAAGCAGTATTATTGGTCAACGATATAACATATACACATACATATAATAGAGTTATTTCTGGATATAAATCTGCCTTAGAGAGACAGAACTGATTCAGATCAATGATGGAGACAGAATGCCAGAGGTCAAATTGTTGTGTCTGTCTTAAAAGCTGTATGACTTTAGTCAAGTTACTTAAGCTCTCTCTCACTGTGCCTCAATTTCCTTTTCAGTAAAATAAAATTAATAATTGGTTCTTCTATTTGATGTTAATGAGTTGCTGTGAATATCAATGAGTTAATGTGTGTAAACTATTTAAAATATTGTCTGGCACAAAGTAAGCACCGTTAGTTCCAGCTGAATAATAATAATGACAGTATTACGGTAACTAGGACAGAAAACAAAATTAGCTGAGATACAAAAAATAGTTCCCTATTTTTGAAGTTTAAAATAAACTACAAATGCATCATCACCATGCCAATAGATTTTTTTGTCCTGCTTGACTGATGCTAATTTTTATTAGGTAAAATTTGTGAGAAACCAGAGTTCTAATGGTTGTTCATAAATTACTATCTCACTTACAAAAATTTCCATTACTTAACAAACATTTCCAGATCTATAATTAATAAATTATTCTGTCATCAACCTCTGATTCTATTTCCCAGGATATTTGGGAATGTTAGTGATCCTACAGACTACATGATATAGAAACAAATATATAGTAGATTCAAGAAACAAATAAAAAATGAACTCCTGACAATACTAACAATAACCTGGCAGAGTACAACAATGCTTTTCAGTTAAGACACTAAACAAAACTCCATACTTCTTTGCTTTGTTGCCAAATAAATAATCTGAATATAAACATAACTTTGCAAAGATGTTAAGATAGTAAAAGAAATCTATTTTCATAGTCCAAATTTTAATTAGGAGTACAATTACCACCTTTCTTTTTTTAAAAAAAATAATTATTTATTTTATTATTATCTTTTTTGAGCCAGAGTCTTGCTCTGCATGTCCAGGCTAGAGTGCAGTGGCGTGATCTCGGCTCACTGCAATCTCCACCTCCCAGGTTAAAGCAACTTTCCTGTCTCAGTCTCCCAAGTAGCAGGGACTACAAACACACACCAACCATTACCACCTTTCTGATTTGACCTTTTCCTCTGATTTAGAAAAAATAGCCCTTAGTACACAATGGTGCAGTAGTAAGAGTTATTGAAATATTTAAATATTTCTTGTGTGTGTGTGTATGTATGTGAGTGTATATATATACACATATATGCATATATACATATACATGTATATACATATACATATATACGTATATATGTATATATGCATATGTATGTACATGTATTTATATATATATATAGCCTGGTTGGTAAATAGCCTGGTTGGTAAATGGCTGAGTAATCCATAAACTCCCACCTCACTATAGCCCATCCTTTGGGGATCTTCCATGACCTGCTACAGACTGAAATATTTAATGCCTATATAATACAGCAGGAGGCTTCCAGGACTTTGCACCGGCTTTAAGCTTAAAGCTGGCATTTGCATTTGTACAACTGACTGATGCCCTTGCTAGTCATCCTCACAAAGGATTCATATCCCAGGTAACATTACTGCCATCCGTAGGCGTAAAAGTTTGTCTGTGCCCTATCCACAATCCCTGCCTGGGCTCAAGGTAAGAGGATCCTCGAGTCTGCCAACTATCTATAATTCCCTATAAACAACCTCTGTCCCCATGTGTCCTCCTGGTCAAAGAAGGCCTAGACTCTGTTGGGGGAGACAACATTCCTAATTATAGGACTTGTGCCCTGGAGGACAAGTTCAGGGTGTTAAGTGTACCCTGGAGGCTGTCTGACATCAATATTCCCCCACAGTTGTCTTCACATAGCCTACTTATTAGAATTAGATTCTCTTTTGGACTTTAGCACTGAAAGAACTGGGGAGAGAAAGGGAAAGCAGACAGGTCAATCATCAAGCAAGCAATGTTTTCTTACAAGTTGTTTAAGTATTTTCAATAACAGCCCTGATCTTACCCAGAAGAATAATCTCTCTTGTTTCTGGGTCCTTTACACTCGTTGGCTGCAAAGGATCTCCAAGAGGTATATCTAGATTTACCATTAAGCTAGTCTCTGCAAAAGAAATATCATTGAAATACAAACTACTTAAAATTAATTCTCAATTATAAAAAACATTCAGTACAAAATATAGGTATACAGCAGTTATAATAGAAAACTGTCAAAACCACAAGTCTCTTCCTATTTATAAGCACTCTTATATAAAAAAATTCAAATTTAAAACCCATAAAAATTTAACATAAAAGCAAACATCCTAAACTTCCTATTTTTTGTAAGCCTACAATGTGTAAACTCAAACTCTTGCATCATCAAGGAATTGATGTTTTGCACAATCTTTAAGAGAAAGAGGTACATAATACACTTCAGAAATGTCTATTTTAACCATCAGTTGGGAATAGGAAAGGTAGATTTCATTTGACTAGGCAATTTACTCATGAAGAAATTTATACAATGATATTAATACTTTTTTAAGAATAAAATTAGCTTACTTTCCATTTGGAAGAAAGTAGAAATTAAAAAATCAATTTTACCTATAGTATTATTTCTGAAGTTATTGGAAGTAAATTTCATATTTTGCAAAGAGCTTCTTCTCAAAGTACTCCTATTTAAAATAAAATCTAAAAGTTACTTTCATAAATAAGTTCATACTTCTTTCATCGTTATCAAGACAGATCCTTTTCTTATTAGCTCCTTTGTTGACTTTTCCAACGTTTTCTTTTGCCTTCCTTTTAGATGGTACTGTGTCTGGAGAGAGTATTCCACTAACCACAAATCCTCCTGAAATTTAACAAAAAAATGAAAATATACTCGGGAAAGAGAAAAGCTTGAAACAAAACTCCTTAAATTTATTATGGCACCTTTCCTTTCAAAGTATCAAAGAATATATATGTCTGCAGCTAATAGCCGAAATAACACAAAACCAACCCATTTCATTATGCCTCTACCACCCTAAATCAGAAGCTGATAAAATAGGATTAGATGATGAAACATAATTAGATGGTCTCTGTTGCTCACCTGAAACCAATAGTCATCAGTGTAGGCTTTTAAAAAAAAAAAAAAAAGGAGAGGAGAGGCTAGCAATGAACTATTTATAGAAATCCACATGCCTTTAGTCCTTTGACTTAGATATATCCATCACAGCAAGAAATAAAGCCAGGCACGGTGGCTGACATCTGTAATCTCAGTACTTTGAAAGGCCAAAGCAGGAAGATTGCTTGAGACCATGAGATAGAGACCAGCCTAGACAACATAGCAAGGCCTCATCTCTACAAAAATAAGAAAATAACTCTAAGATTAACATTATACTTTCCTGCCCACCCTACATTACTCTGTAGAAATCTATGAGGAAATGGAAAATGGTTAGCAGGAATAATAATGGAAACTATTTTACCTTTACCAGTTATAATTTTCTCATGTTCTAATCTAATTATATTATGCAATTAGAGATCTTGTCTGATAATACAGGAATAACAACACTCAGCTACCAAAGAGAAAATACCAGCATCTCTACATTAATCAGACAAAAATGAATTTAAATCCTATTATTGAAATCTCAGGCGTGATGATTAAGTAAGGTAATGTATCTAAACATGTACTGCAGTGTCTGGCACACAGTAAACAAATTTTTTATTGACAGACATTATAGCATAAACTAAGTTTTACCTGATGGCCTTCCTTGATAATCTATTCGCTCCCCTCGCCAGTACTCCAAAGGTTTCAAACGTATTCTCTTGGTCCTGCGAACATTTGGTGTGTTGGAGGGCAATACTATAAAAAGGTATCAGACAAAAGTGTATATATATGTTTTTTAGTTAATGGCACTTGGCAGTGGAAAGACTATCTTTTAGAAAATGAATGCTTTATTTTTTAGAACATAAATATTTTTCTAGACAAAAGACTAAAAAAACAAAACATGTATTTATGCTAATAATTAAAGAAATGCCAATGGAAAAACAGGCTACCAAATTGGCAAACATTTAAAAATTTAATAATGCCCAGTGTTGACAATGTTAAATGTACACTCATCTGAACAATGCAAAGTTCTGTATATTAAATTGAGTTTGTTGGCTGTATCTTCAAATTCCCATGTTCTTACCTATTTTTTGTTTGCTAGAGCTATCCTGAAGCTAACAGGAAGTTGCCTACTGCTGTTAGGCATAATGCTTAATGTTCCTTTCTGTAAACACTGAAGCTCCTGATCAGGAACATTTTTATTTCCTTTTCTCTACTCCTGATTCATCATTTCACTCCAAGACAAGCATTAAGTATCAAGAGATATAGCAGTTTCTCATCACACAGGCTCACGAAATATTAACATGAGCTAAGTTTTTGAGTGAGGCAATGAGAAAAAGCTTCACTCCTACTGTTAATCTCTAAGTTTAAGAGCACTCACAGCCTCAAACAAAGAGAGAAACATTAAAAGCCACCCAACATCACAGAAAAGTGGGAACATGTATCTTGACTCGCAAATATCTCTTTGGGAACCATGGATTGTTAATCTTTACAGGGGCCTCTCCACGGGTTCCCTAGTTCACAGCTTTGTCTACTTACTACCCTAGCTACTGCTTTGTTTAGGAGTCAACTGAATTAAAGTGGAAGCACATGCTGTCAAGGAAGCCATCTACCTGGTAGTTACAGTTTCTTTGATAAAATACTCCACACTAGCTTCATAGATAAGGGAGGATCATGCCCCCTTACTAGGGGGGAAAAAGTGAGAAGGCAACAGAATTCATAAATGGACAATAGACTAACTCAGTGGTTTGTGATGACTTAATATGAAATTCATAAAAACTAAGTATGTAATTTTATCTACCTACCAATTAATCCAAGTAATAGTATTTCTCCTCAAGAAAAATTAAGTATATTTAGAAACAAAATTAAAGTATTTTTCTCAATAAAAATATTAAAAGAGAAAATATTCTTACCTAATTTGTGATGGATTCTGTTCTTTGGTATCACTTTAGATAGTTTTACTCTTGAGTCATCTACAAAATGCAAAAGAATATCATGAGCAATGACTGCTAATTCCAAGTTAAGTTAAAGTTTCCTGGTCAATTTCAGTATGAGTATTTTAAATAAAATTTGACCTGATAATATATTTTATTAGTCCTTTTGCTTTTCACTGCTCAGTTATAAAAATTAAGGAAAAGAAGTTATTTCTGTAGACTTTGCTACAATGAATACATTGCAAGCTTGTCCAATTCGCCTTATTTTGTTATGTTCTGTTTTGTTTTGTTTTAGGCCTTTAGCAGCCTGAACCCATGGTTTTTAGTTTGTATCTCTAGTGGCAAATGGAGAAGAGGGATGAAGAAAGGGTTTTACTGACCCAACCAGAAAGAGAAACTAAGAACCCATGACTGTATTCTCTCCCTTGGACACCCTGGTTTGTATTCTTAAGAGTGTAACTGTTAAAAAAACAAACAAACAAACACAACAACAACAACAAAAAAGAGATTTTTTCTACTGCTCATGGAAAGATTAAATAAGCCACTGGTGGATAAAAATGTAGGGACTGATAATGAATAATTAATATGTTATTAATGAACTATCTGTAACTTTCTCATAAAGTTCTGAAATAGTTTAAGTGTACCGAACTTAGCAGTGTGCCAATGAGCTTAGAGGTTCTCAACTTTGGTAAATAGCACCTAAAGATGACTGTCTTCACTTCTTTCCCTTTCTATGCACAAATGTTCTATATCAAGAAGCAGAGTCTCATTCCCTTCTCCTTCAATCTCTGCTTGAGTTAGTGACTTGCTTAACTAATAGACCACAACAGAAATGATGTCTGGGACTTAGAAGGCTAAGTCCTAAAACAATCTACAGGTTTCATCTAGAAGTCTTGGGATCTCACTCTTGGGGAAGACAGCAACAATATGAAGATTAGCACAAGACTGCCATGCTGTGAAACCCAATGTAGTCACATAGAAAAGCCACATGGAGGAAAAGAGTTGCTTGGGCAACCGTCAGAGTCCCAGCTCTCCTAGCTGGGTTCAAATATATAAGTGAGGAAGTTTCCTTGAATGTCCAAACCCAGTTGAACTTTTAGATGACTCCAGCACCAGCAACTTGTACTTTTAAATTCATGAGTGTACTCAAGTGACAATTACCCAACTAAGCCAAGTCAATTCACAGAACCATAAAAGATAAATCAATCACTGTATTAAGCCTCTAAGTTTTAGAGTGGTTAGTTATGCAGCAATATACAACTGGACACAATGTCCATGAAACACCTAAAGTTGTAAATACAATTTTGCATTTTTCCCCTAAAAAGTAAGTCTGTTTTTATCATATTCTCAAATGAATCCATGGAAGAAAAACAACAAAAAATTATTAAGAATGATTGAATTAGGTATTTTATAAAATCATTGGTTTGGAAGAAACTTCAGGGATCATAACATCTAATTTCCCTGTCAGATATAGGCAAATCTGTAGACATCGAAAGTAGATTAGGAGTTGCATAGGCCCAGGGAAAGGAAATGGAAGGTGGCTACTAAAGAGTAAAGGGGTTTCTTTTTGGGGATGATGAAAAGTTCTAACATCGACTACGACAATTACTACATACCATTGATTTGTATACCATAAGTGGACTAATTATATGGTATATGAAGTCTAACTCAATAAATCTAGTGCATCCTCCACTCCATCTCAACCCCCACTGCCAAAAATCCCATTTCCCATGCAATCTCTACTAGAAGTAGAGGTCTCGCCTCTGTTGGAAATTCTCCTGTGACACTGAGTCTTGGAGGGAGCGCCAGAGTCATAAAAGGAACCACAGAAACAAGCAAATATACTGAGAATAATGGGAGTCAGGTTTCTCACTGAGAAGAGGTTTATAAAAATGGAAAAGGAGATGTCTATATTGAAATGGAAGTAGGATTAGTAATGTGAACTTATAATAAATAGAGGTATATCCCAGAGACACTGCCAGCTCAGTTCCAGACTACTATAATAACACAGATATTGAATAAAGCAAGACACACTGTTTGGTGTGTGTGTTTTTTTTTTTTTTTTTTGGTTCTTTTGTTTTGTTTTGGTTTTTTGAGACAAAGTCTTATTCTGTCACCCAGCCTGCAGTGCAGTGGTGCAATCATGATTCACTGCAGCCTCCGCTCCTGGGAGCAAATGATCCTTCTGTTTTTCCCCGAGTAACCAGGACCACAGATGCACACCACCATGCCCGGCTAATTTTTGTATTTTTAGTAGAAACAGGTTTTCGGCATGTTGGCCAGGCTGGTCTCAAACTCCTGGACTCAAGTGATCTGCCTGCCTCTCCTCCCAAAGTGTTGGGACTACAGTGTGAGCCACCATGCCGGGCCAAAAGTTATGTCTTTACTATATTATAGTATATTAAGTATTTAAGAGCATTAGGTCCAAAAACTCAGTGTACGTATACCTTAATTTAAAAATATTTTACTATTAAAAATGCTAAAGATCAGCCAGGCATAGTAGCTCACTCCTGTAATCCCAGAATTTTGGAAGGCCCAAAAGGGCAGATGACTTGAGGCCAGAAGTTCAAGAACAGCCTGGCCAACATGCAAAACCCTGTCTCTACTAAAAATAAAAAAATTGGCTGGGTGTGGTGACACACACCTTGTGATCCCAGCTACTCTTGGTGGCTGAGGCATGAGAATCACTTGAGTCCAGGAAGCGAGAGGTTTCAGTGAGCCAAGATTGTACCACTGTACTCCAGCCTGGGTAACAGAGTAAGCTTATGCCTCAAAAAATAGAAATAATAAAAAATAAAAATAAAAATATCATCTGAGCTTTCAGTGAGTTTTAATCTTCTTGCTGGTAGGCTATTTTGCCTCATTGTTGATGACTGCTGACTGATGAGGCTGGTGTGTCTGTAGCAGTTTCTTAAAGCAAATCAACAATGAAGTTTCTCTGGAGCATATAAAATGCTGTTTTATGGCATTTTACCCACAGTAGAACTTCTTTCAAAACCACAGTCAAACCTCTCTAGCCTGCCACTGCTTTATCAACTAAGTTCATAGAATATCCTAAATCCTTTTTGGTCATTTCAAGAGTTCACAACACATTCACTAGGAGTAGATCCCACCTCAGGAAATCAGTTTCTTTGTTCATCCATAAGAAGCAACTCCTCATCTGTTCAAATTTTGTCATGAAATTGCAGCAATCCAGTCTCATCTCCAGACTCCACTTCTAATTCTAGTTCCTTTGCTATTTCCACCACATCTAGTTTTTTCCTTCATGGAAGTCTTGAAGCCCTCAAAATCACCCAGAAGGGTTGGAATCAACTTCTTCCAAACTCCTGGTAATGTTGATATTTTGATCTCCTCCCATAAAACATAAATATTTTTAATGGCATCTAGAATAGTGAATCCTTTCCAGAAGATTTTTTATTTACTTTTTCCAGACCCATCAGAGGAATCACTACTCATGGCAGCTACTGCCTTACAAAATGTATTTCTTAAATAATAAGACTTGAAAGTCCAAATTATTCCTTGATCCATGCATAAGCTGCAGAATGGATGCTATGCTGGTAGGCATGACAACAACATTATTTTCCTTGTCCTTGTCCATTAGAGCTGCTGGATGGCCTGGTGCATTGTCATGGTTGTGCTGTCACCCAGGCTTTGTTGTTCTACTAATAGAACGAAGTAGATTTAGCATAATTTTTAAGAGCTCTAGGATTTCTGGAACGGTAAACAAGCACTAGCTTCAACTTAAAGTCACCAGCTGTATTAGCCCTTAACAAGAGAGTCAGCCTGTCCTTGGAAGCTTTGAAGTCAAGCATTGACTTCTCCACTTCAGCTATGAAGGTCCTAGATGATCTCTTCTTTCAATAGATGGGTGTTTGTCTACAGTGAACATTTGTTGTTTAATGAAGACACCTTCAATTATCTTAGCTAGATTTTTTGGATAACTTGCTGCAACTTCTACAACAGACCTTGCTGCTTCACCTTGCACTTTTATGTTATGAAAACAGCTTCTTTCCTTACACCTCATGAACCAGACTCTGCTACTTCCAAACTTTTCTTCTGCTGCTTCCTCACCTCTCTCAGCCTCCACAGAATTAAAGAGAGTTTGGGCCTTGCTTTGGATTAGACTTTGGCTTTAAAGAAATGCTGTGACTTGTATAGTCTTCAGTCCAGACCACGGAAACTTTCTCTATATCAGCAGTAAGGCAGTTTCCCTTTCTTATCATTCACGTGTTCACTGGAGTAGCACTTTTATTTTCCCTCAAGAACTTTTCCTTTGCATTCATAAATTGGCTGTTTGGTGCCAGAGGCCAAGCTTATGGACTATCTCGGTTTCTGACATGTCTTCCTCACTAAGCTTAATCATTTCTAGCTTTTGATTTAAAGTGAAAAATGCCTGATTCCTTTTACTTGAACACTTAGAAGCCATTGTAGGGTTATTATTGGCCTCTCAGGGAACAGGGAAGCCCGAGGAGAAGGAGAAAGATGGGGAACTGGCCAGTTGGCAGAGCTGTTAGAATACATTTATTAAGTTCACTTTCTTATGTGGGTGTAGTTTATGATATCCCAAAACAATCGCAATAGTAACGTCAAAGATCACTGATCACAAATCACCATAAAAGACATAGTAATGAAAAAGTGAAACACTGTGAAAATTATCAAAATGTGACAGACACACAAGGTGAGCACATGCTACTGAAAAATATGGTGCCAATAAGGCTTACTCAACACAGGGTTGCCACAAACCTTCAATTTGTGAAACACGCAGTATCTGCAAAGTACAATGACACAAAGCACGCTAAAACAGGGCATGCCTGTATAAATATAAATATAGAAATAGACATAGAAGCCTGTATTATATATGGTGTGTACATATGTGTATGTGTGTATGTGGATGTATCTATATACTATCTCTGTCCACTGAGAAAGCTTAGAAGCAATGGTATCCCAAACAAGGATCATACCAAGTGCCCAAATCTTGGTTTCTAAATGCCATCCTCCACTGAAAATAACCAGGCTTCCTGGAGCAGTAATTGATCCCA